TGAGCCCCTCTGTTCCGGTGAAGATTTACATTCCCAGAACCCACAGGGGCCGTTCTAGTCTGTCTGCTGTCAGTGTCAACTCAATGATAGTGAGGGGTTTGTTTGTTTGTTTGTTTGTTGTTCCTGAAGGACGAGCCTAATTTAATGATGTGGTGTTCCAATGGAGTAATTCGCACATTTTTCATTGAAAAATTGTGAGAAAGGTTTCTTTCACTCTTAACAATTGAGGAGCCCAAATATTTACCTATGAATGTTAAAGATATTTAATATGTTGGAAGTTAAAGTTGTGGGGGAAAAAACTTAAATATTTACTAATTTGTTAAAAGGAACACGATGTCCATTTTGTTAGCAATAAATATTTTATAAAATAACACTTTCCCCCAAAATTAACGAGTAACATTAAAAAAAGTTTACAAAGCTTTTTATTAATTTCTGGATTCACGTATCAGATACTGAACTCAATCTATTAATATACTGGTTTGTTTGAATTAAGGAGTGAGGTGAATCACAAGTTGGGCTGTTAACTGAAAAAAATGAGGCTTTCTGCTGTCATCAAGAGCTATTGATAGGGAGCAGGATTGGGGGTTGTTCCTCTCCATGCCTCGGGGACCCCCTACAGGAAGTTGGAAGCTGATAAAGGCTAAAGGGCATGCGCCAATTCAGGCCCTGAGCTAGAGGAGCTGTACACCTGGGTGGGCCCCCATCTAGGCCAGGTGGGCTTAATTCAGCCAATGGGGTCAACCAGCTCCATCAGCCACGCCTCCCAAGGGAAGGCCCGAACTGTGAGACCACCCTCTTTTCTAGCTGCTCCTCCTCCGTGCTGCCTGGGCCTCAGTCTCTCTTTCTCTGGCTTCAGGCAGCCCCGTGGGTGTGCAGTGCCCCGAGGGTGCTTGTGTTAAGTGACTAACGCCAAGAACTGCTCTGTCCTTTATAAAAACCCACTTGCGTCACAAGCCAGGCTTCCGCGTGAATTCTTTCTCATGCGAAGCCAAGGACGGGAGCATTTCCCACAGAGAAATCTAACATGAGAACTTTAGAATCACACATGGCCAGCTCTAGTCTGGCCTACACAGTTGTTGAGTTGGAATCAACTCAGTGACAGTGAATCTTTTTAGATTTGTTGCTTGAATTATATGAAGTTATTCTTCATTTTTGGTTATCATACCAACATACAGGTGGAAAAGGGTGGAGTATTTTAATGAACCTTTTCAGATAATTGTGGATATTATCCTCGATATGCCACCCAAACTGGACAATTGGTAGTTTCTGGAAGGGTGGTTCAACATTAAATCTGAAACCGTACCAACAAACTTTTCAGACTCCATTACATCAGCTCAATTGGTCTATCTTGTAGTTTGAATGGATCTTTCCCCCATGTCTGATTTTGTAAACTCATACACAGGTAATTTGGAAAATGGTGATTCACTGAGTTCTGTAGATCTCCCAAATGTGACACATCTCATTCTATAACATCCTCATTCTATAACATCACCTGTGATGCCGTCAGAAGTGTTTAAAAGTACTGAAAAGTTACCAAGCTCACAGGGATGAACGCAAGCTTTTCAGAATTCTACTTTTGCCAAAAGCTCAAATTTGATCATTGTTAACAAAAACTATTAGTGTTTTTCTTTGGAAAACATAGGCTTACTTCATTGGGGAAAATGTCTGCCGAATGCCCACATTTTAATAACCACCGTTTGTCTGCCACTCATCTTTCAAGCCCAAATTGCGTTCAATGAAACAAAATCTACTGGTTCAATTTGCAAGTCAATCACAGAAAGGCTCCCCTCCCTCCTGCCCCTCTAGAGATGGAGCCTGTACTTCAGCATGCTGGGAGACCTGGTATTTAAATTATAGGCCAGCATTCCCTTTTCTGACTAAACCCATTCTATCCATTATGTTGCTTGGGTCCTTGCCTCATTGCCTTTGCAAGCTCTTTGACTACAGGTACCAGGTCATTTTCTTCTCTGCAGTAGACATTGAATTCAATAGTCATTGTTACTGAGTGAATACATATCCTATCTTTCCAAAGAGACTTAGGCACAGTGAAAACAGGGACTCAGTGCCATTCTTCTGTGACTCACCAGCACCCACGTCTTCAACACTGCCGCGCACAGCTGTGGTGGTTGATGGTCGCTCACTGCTGTGGTGGTTGATGGATGCTGTTCCAACTCATCGCAACCCTTTCCATGAGGATGGTCATTAAGAAGCTCAGCAAGTCACTCTTTCATCCCTTCCCTTCCAATACCTAGTACACAGTGGAGGGGTTCAAATTATCCAGCAACCGGTTCGCTGCCCTAATGACCATTTTGAGAATAAAAAAGGGATATACCCAAAGGTAGCTTATTCTACAGTTAATACTTAAATAAGAATAAGGTGCAAAAAAACTAGATTCAGTTATAAGTTTTAAAGTATTAGTGAAAAAAATACCTGATCAAAAAAAAAACCCAATAAAACTGTTATTTAAGGTATTTCCATAGTATTTATTGATTGGCACCCTCATTTGCAATATTGTTCACTTTCATCCGAGCATCATCAACTGTGTGATTGATCCTTAACCATCTTTGCAATGTAGGAATAGGATCCCATTCCTTAAGAGGTAGGCCAATTAGACAATAGTCATTCTGTTTGATAGATTACACTTAGGCAACTTCTCTTCTCTGAACATATTATGTTCTTCTTTGAAAATCCCCTGTCCAAACTTACAGCAATTGACCTGACAGTATTACTAGCTCTTTGGACACTTTCAAGAATTGCATAATTCACGAAAAAATATCTCCTAGGAACTTGGGGCGTAACACAAAGCTAAAATGAACGCAAGTGTGTCAGCCACTGGTTGTTTGGCATCTGTTCTCCGTACATTCTATGTTTGTTTACTGAAGTAACAAATCCAAGGGGATAAAAATGTATTTCATCAAAAGTATAATGAGTTTTATGAAATGAATAAATATTAAGGGCATGGTTCCATCAAATAGTATCTATCTATGGATGGAATGAACATTACTATGGGAGATTAGATATCCTGTGGTGCAGATGAACATTCAAAGAAGAGTAAGGAATGTAAATTTGTGATTTCCACACTGGGCAGCTGGAGAGCCGCACACTTCAGAAAGAACCCTGATGACAAGGGTCATTTGAACAACCAGTTTGCTGAACTCAACAGAAAATTAGGTATCAGTTCTGCCGAGCCAGTGCGAACTGGCCGAATGCCACCACAGCTATTAAAGTATAATAGGAGCCCGGCTCTGTAGGCTGTTTGCAGATGGGCAGGGCGTGTGCACACACGCGTGAACACTACAGATCCATACATACACTTATCACTAGAGATTCCTAGTTGAGGAAGGAAATGTACAGAGTATGTTGGTCTTATGAATCAGGGAGGAGCCCTAGTGCCACACTGAGTTATATGTTGGGCTGATAACTACAAGGTCAGCAGTTTGAAGACAAGGTTTTCTGTTCCTAGAACATTTTACAGCCGCAGAAACCCAGGGGGCACTTCCCCTCTGTCCATAGCGTCACTGTCAGAGCTGAGTGGACAGCAGTGGAGTTTTTGAAATGAGGCAGGGCTGAGGGCAGCGTCAGTACGTGCTAACAGACGCTGCATACATGATTTGGGAGAAAGTCATTATCCACCCACTTTGAGCTTTACAAGGGTGAGTCAGAAAGTGTTGCTACTGCGGTTCCAGTTCATACACGCACGATTTGTCTATTCAAATAAAATGTGTCTCTGGGATTAGTGGAGGGCTATATCCTCATTTCCAAGGCGCGTGCTGGCTGTACTTCTTCGAAGACAGATTTGCTTGGTATTTTGGCAGTATCTGTGATACTTCCAACATTTTCCGCAGCACCATAATTCAAGTGCCTCCATTCTTCGTGGGTCTTCCTTATTCACGGTCCAGGTCTCACATGCATAGGACGTGATGGAGGAGACCGTGGCTTGGATCAGGCACCTTAGCTCTTAGGGGGGGAGAAAACTCTCAGAAGACAACTTTCAAGGTCTTATTGCCTTTCTGCTTCGGAAGTCGTATATTAAATTGCAGTGATGTGGGATACAAAATCATTTCTCTTCAATAGCCTCGGTAAGCCTATTTACAGTATACATTTTCTGCTAATTCCTCCAAGCCTCACAGAGGAGGAGTAGGTGAAATCACAAAGCTCCCCTCTAAGGCACTAAACAAAATCAGAGCCATTAGATGATGGCTGTCGTATTTTGAAAGCCTGCTTCGGCTGGAAGCACTCACTGAAGAGCATCCAGGGGCCCGCTCTCCCACTCAAGACTTGGTGCTCTATAAAGACAGTCTCTGAAAGCAGGGGAAGAGCAAAGGTGGACACATACATGGCTTTTACTTTTTATTACCAGCACACAGAGTACATGAAAAATAATGACGATCACTCTTTAACTTCCCTTTCTATTTCATATTTCCAAATGCTTTAAATAGAACAGGCAAACCAAAGCAACAAAATAAAGCCGATCCCCTCTATGAAGGCTGACATTTCAACAGTGCATGTCCAAAATGCCAACAGTAAGAGCTGTAACTATGAAAGAAGGAAACAAGGATTTCTTCAGTGCCCCCTTAGTTCACAGATTTCCCCACCAAAAAAATATATGTCACATCCTATATTATTCCAGCAAGGGAGTTACTTTTTTCTTTTCATAAACTTTTTTGCTTCTTTCAAAAGCTCTTCAACATCTTCCTTCTCTTGGTCTTCCTTCCCGGGCTCCCAGTCAGAGTCTTCGTCTGTTGGCTCATATTCTTCTTCCTCATCATCGATAAAGCTGTCGTTCGGGTCGTACTCATTCGGCGGTCCGGTGTTACCATCATCCTCATCTAAAGTGCTTCTCCCTGGAGATAGAAAATTGGTACAAAACACATCAACTGCCATTCAACCTGGCATAAGAGCCATCTAACTGCAGAATGGCTTCCTGCATCAAGACTCAATACCTGGCTAACCATTATACATTTCTAGACGGGGCACGAGAAGAGTCATTTGTTGTTTATTTTTCTTTTCCTATCATGATGCTCCTGAGAAGAAAATGATCATAACCATGGTTCCTTACTAAGGTTGTCATCTCTAGCTAGGCATACCGTCCTCCATCGTAGTTTCTGCTCCTTCTTGTGACATGGTAGGATTTCCCCAGCCCACTGAAACCACGCGAGGCAGGACGGAGGAAGGAGTGGGTGCAGCTCTTGGAGGCTTCCTGTGCCATTTTCCCTCTGCCAAGAGCACAGAGCGTGCCCAGAGGGGCCTGGTCCTTCAAGCTGGATGCTAGAGCACGTACAGGGCAGAACCAGTCAACCGCAGCTGAGACACGAGGGAGGCACAAACCTTTGTTGCTGAAAGATGCTGAACGCTTGGGACTGCTTACAACAGCAGCCTAGCAAAATCTGATCAACACATCGGGGATCATCCACACATCAAAATGGAAAGATACGGGCTTAACTATTATGAAAGTTTTTGTTTTATAGCTCTAAGATATTCTTAGTGTTGGTGTTTTAATAACAGCAGGATTCCTATGGCAACAGCCACTAGCATTTATAGATTTCTAAACAAGATGACCAAAGTAGACTCTCTTGTCTCCAAATTATTTTTATATTTTCTCATCCCACACTGTTTTACTTTCATTCCACATTGTGCAGCAGAGCCGATTTAAATACAGCTGGGAGAGAGGCTAGAAGACCTGGAACATTTAAGAAACAACTAGGAAGATTCTGGCTGAAGAGATCCTCAATGACAGAGAACCATTTCTGTGATACTTTTGGATAGGCTTTGGTTAACTTCCTCCTAAACTGTTCACACACGAAGTAGGGAATGCACACACAGACTGGTGAGAGGCAAGGATGAGCACGGTGATGAGGAAGTGTTGTATCTGAGCATGCCAGCACCTGGGGGGGAGGAAGGGGTGTGCATGTAACTGTTCTAACTGAAGCAGCAGTCAGGGGTGGCTCCAAACCACAGTGCTTGGAGGGTCCTGAATGAGGGGTGCCTCCCAGAGGCGTGGACATTACATCTTTTGTCTTTTTTGGCTTTTGTGCAGTGAGGCCAGCCTTGTAAATATGTGTATAGTTTCCGGTGTGCCATTTGGAAGGTGAGGCAATTTTCATGCACCATCTACCATCTCTACACACGTCAGGCTTGTCAGCTGTCCCCACCCCCACCCCCAGCTACGTTCACAAGCACACGCTGCTCCTCTTTGTTCCTAACAAGGGGACAGCTGTGACCAGCTTCCTTTCGGCCTCCCTCTCGTTGGACCAGGAAACCAGAGGAATAGGGACCCCCTCCTTTCTCGGCAAGGCAGAAGCAGGGTGCCCAAATATGGGGCAGGTTGAACAGCACTACCTAGGGATGTAGACGGCAAGGCAGAGACGGCAGCATGGGAAAGCAGAGACTTCCACTAATATGGGGAGCCATTACAGGCTGCCTTTATGTGTCACCCCACATCTCCACAAGTTTCATGAGATAAATGTGTTAAGAACAACCGATTTTCCCATGCCTCATCTCACGTGCACTACACTTCTAGAGTGGGGCCATACACAAGGAAGCTTAAAAACGTTCTTGGAAAAATTCCGTGTTTCCCAAAACCTTATGGAAGCCCCCTAGTATGCCTCGTGCATTTTGGGCGTTGTCAGGAGAGACCAGTCTCTGAAGGACTTCCTGCTTGGTACGGGGGAGGGGTATCGAAAATGAGAAGGACCCTTGTCAAGATGGGGGGACACAGGCTGCACCAGTAGACTCAGCTGGAAGAACAATCGTGAGGACGGCGCAGGACCGGGTGGTGTTCTGTTGTCACAGGGTCCCTTTCAGTCTCAACTGACGTGCCTAAGGGCAGTAATAACAACGGTCTCCTGCAGACTGTGTATCCAGGTCTATCTCCCCTAACAACATGCTAACATGCGTCCCGTATTCAGCCTGCATTCCATTACTGAGAAACCTTTTACCAACCAAATCTAGCAGACACAGGGTTAAATGAAGCCAACTTTACGGGAGCAGAGAACCACATTGTTCTCCTTTGGAACAACCGGTGGGCTCCAACTGCTGCCTGGCGGTCAGCAGCCCAGTGCATCACTTGCGCCATCAGCCCTCCTCAGTCTCTCTCGGGCATGAGAGAACTAGAATGCGGCTCGGTGTTCTTAGTTCATGGTGCCAACAGACACTTGCTGACAGGGTTTGCCATGGGAGGAGCCAATGAATCCGTGGACCCCATTGTAGCAAATTCATTTAACGACTTTGAAGACTGCACACGGCGAATGCCATCTTCTGGGAGGGAGTTTAGTGTTATCCCTGCTAGCAGTCAGAAGGCAGTTTTGGAGAAATATGAGTGTTTGCCTTTCTGCGGGAGAGGACCGGGCAGAAACAAAGTGTAATGAACTTCGAGGAGGCTCTGACTCAGCGAGTTTGTGCTGCTCTACGTTATTGCCTGATTTCCTGAGTCATGGGACCAAATTCGGGAAATAGGCTCTTTACCTCTGAAATAAAATGGCTAGTCGCTAACTTAGTGTGACAGGTTTTTCATGCCAACATGGCACTTGTAAGAAGATATGAGTGGAGGTTAGCCTGTCAATCAGGTCACAGTTTGATGACCTCCTTTGGAGGTGTGACAGAGAGAAATGGCTCTCTGGAGGCTGGCTCCTCTGTCTTTCTGCCTTCACCTTCCTGGGGATGAGCCACACCGACACTTGCACGAGCTCTGTAACGCAACCACCGCCATTGGACCCACACAATTCTGCACCCACTGGGCTGGAATCTTCCTGCATTCTGCACCACTGCTTATGGCTGCTGGAGTCTGCAGAGGGACTTATGGACTTGATCTGGACTGGGCTGTTTGCTAGATAAGTAATTATGTCTTAATATAAAGCTCTCTTACACATATGAGTGTCCCTGGATTTATTTCTCTAGTCAAGCCGGCCTAACACACTTAGGGGTAAAACATCTGTTCTTTCCAGAAGCGCCATGTGCTTTCAAGCAAAGGCGGATCTGAAGCTCACTGGCTGAGAGCAGGCCTGCAAGACCAACGCCCGGGGCCTCCAGCTGGGCCCATGAAGCTGATGCCGCAGAATCTGGGCATCTGGATTCAACGTGCTCAAACTAGTCAGGTGCCCACACACACCCCTCACTAGTGTACTGTTGCCTATATGAAAAACAGGAAGAAAGATTCTCATACAAGGAAACTTCTTATTTAGAGAACTAGGAAACTGGTAAGTTTCACCCTAAAACCTAACTCTGGAGAGCTGCTGAAGAGCCCTGTGGGCCGCACGGACGCTATCAGGAAACTGCTGGTTTTACAAGAAAAAACAAGCTTTGCAACTACTGGGCTGTTTTCTTCTCCCAGATTGTGTTCTGGTAGAGGGTCTAAGATGCTATGGCACATTAACATCTTCACACTGATACGATAAAATCTATGTGCTAATTATGATGCTAATTTTAATTCAAGAGATATTTTGTCTTTAATGATAAAAATGTATTATAAACTCTAAGAACAAGCATTTTAAATAATGCCTACTTCCATTAGGAAAGACTCATTTTCTTTTATGCACTAAACTCCTAGCCTGTCACTGGCATGTTAGCCTTAGGGAAGACCCGCTTAGTTCTATGCGGTGTTTATCTCATTTACGAATGCCATTGAGGCAGCCCTCTCTAATTCTCTGTTCTCCGTCTCCCCACAGGCAACAGCAGCTTTGAGAATCTCATTCAAGGTCCGCTGTTGTTGCTGGAAGGTGCTGTTGAGTCGACTACAGTGAGGAGCGGCCTCAGGTGGCAAAGCAGTACTATCCCCACAGTATTCTCTAGGCTGTAATCTTCAAGGGTCTTCCCTATGCTGGTGTGGCTGGTGAGTTTGAACCACTAATCATTAGGTTGCAACCAAACCCTTAGGTACTGCACCAGCAGGACTCCTATACGTCTCACAAGCCTTAGGAAGGCTCCCTGGTGGCACAGTGGCAATGCACACGGCTGCTGATCGAGAGCTTTACATGTACTCGACACTACATGGGCAGACCAGGGCTGCCATCTACCTCCCTAAGAGGACAGCCTGGGAACCAGGCAGGGCAATGCGACCCTGCTCTGTGCGATGGTTATGAGTCTCAGTCAACTTCCTGGCAGTGGGTCTAGTGTGGGTGAACTTTTCTTAATAGCTTTCTGGCAAGAATTTTGTTTCCATTTCTGGAAGATAAACAACAATGACAAAAGCATATATGAACACGTGTGTAGGCAATTGCAGAACTAGAGAAACATTAAAATAGTTTAAGAACAATATT